TGGTTCTTGCTTACATGTGTGCTATTGATTAGTATTGATTCATAGACAACCAGCAAAACGCACACTGTATCCGACCTTTGCGCATTTTCTTTGTGTTAAGGTTCCCTCCCCCATTTTTTTTTTAATTAACAGGTTTAAATTCACACATAGTTTTCACACCAGCTACTCTCACGCTGTGTCTCTGCCTTTCCGGATTTACAAATGAGGAGCCTTTCATCGTATTTGGCCTTAAAGAGGATTTTGAGACAGCGCTTTCACTAAAACCTCTAATACTAACAATATTATGAGAAAACAGTTGTGGTTTTAAACACACACACTCCAATAAGACACACTTTGTATTAGTGTGGGGTTGCAGAGATTTGCAACAAGCAACAAAAGGATTTCCGCACACACCAAAGCCAAACACTGGCTCAAAGGAATCATTGAAGTGTTGGAGGCGAACTGAGGTTAATGTTTAAAAGATAAACATGAGCAGATTGAAAAAACTGTTGTAAAAAATAAATTATTTATTACGTTCTTGTATTAGGGGTGCACAAGACCTGCTTTCCAGCAATGCCACTGCTTCACTGAGAATTGGCCATATGCATGTAAAATATATTTGTTTACAATGTCCTAAAGTCAGTTACTGTTTATGAATCTCTCAGTATGTATCGTCTTGATGTGATCATTCCTTTCCACAGATCTAATATATAACTACTGTGAGATTTCATAACACTTTTAAGCAACTTTTGTTAAAGTTAAACTCAACATTCTATCAATGTGCAGAAGCCAGTACTTTTCCCTTTTTTTGACTTCTGAAGGCCAAGCTACATGGCACTGTGGCAGCTGCTGATTGGAGGTCTCCATGCCTCCGCTCTGTATAATACACTTGCTGTCGTAACATCCCTTGTTCGTGTGCTTTGTTCGTGCTGTCTCTACCATTGACAATAAAACATGTCTTCTGTCTGAATTAAAGACGCAATCCCAGACTTGGCTCATCTTCTTCACTACATTTGTTGCACTAGAATACACAGTACTTTATACTTGCCTCTTATTTTGCCAAATGTACGTTTTTTTTAACTTCTTTATAATAATAATTATGTTCAAGATAGAGATTTTATACTTGTTCTTTGATGCTAGAGTTAGAGATTTTGTTTTATTTAAATTAGTATAGCTATTGTTCACTTATCTTGTGCTGTGTGCTCCTCATCCCTACTGTTCTATAACTTGTGATACGACACTGAAATTTCCCCGCTGTGGGACGAATAAAGGTCTTAATCTTAATCTGCCGTGAAACTTTACCAGAAGTCTTATTGTCTACTGAGTTAAATTAAACACTGTAGACGTTGGGATCTCCATTGGCATCTGATATCCAGGACTGTTGATTACTTGGGGATATCAGATTATAAAAATATCAATTTCAAGTCTCTTTTAGTAAGTCCATTGGGCTGTGAAAGGACAGTAAAGGAAACAGAATTTAAAAGTGAATGATTCTTGGAAAATGTGTTGCTTTTGAATGAGTCACTTGAAACAGTGATTTCATTGGAAACTTTATTGAAAATATCCTTCAAAACTTAGCATTTTGAGAATAGGGAGTTCATGTTTGGCTGCAATAACAGAGACAGTGTTTCAAGTTAAATATTCAGAATGATATTGCTTTTTTTCAAAGGGTTGGACAGTGCGACAGTGGCTCAGTTGGAAGAGCATTGGCCTTTGAGCCCACCACGAGACCTCCTCCACCGACTCCACTGATGTCTGCTGTCGTTGTGTCCTTGGGCAAGACACTTATCCCACTTTGCCTATAAGGAGCGCGGAAGTAATGTCTGCATGCCTTGATGTGTATACTGTATGTGTATTCATCAAACTGAAATTTCCCCACTGTGAGACGAATAAACAAAGGACCTTCTTATGAAAAAAATAATAATGCTGATACAAGCATGATGGGATCAGCTTGTTTTGAAAGTATTTGTTGGAGTAAAAAATTCAGTTCTGTCTGAAATAAGTGAAAAATACACTTTTTTGAGCTATTAAACACATATTACAACATTCTTCCTATATCGCTCAGCGCAACAAAACAGTTGAATCATGAATAGTTCGGGAGCATACATACAAAACTATGCCAGTAAATCTTGCTCATACTGTAGATTTCAACAGTGCATTAAAAAGCCATTACACAAAGAGAAAAAACAGCTGAAACATCAATAATGTTACACACACCCAAAACCGCCGATACATTTGCATAAAAACAATGGGATGAAATCAGGTCCCGCACTTTGTTTCTCCAGTAAAAGAAAAGGTGTGTCGGAGCTAACGCAACAAAACAGGAAAGACAGAAGAGGCCAACCCAGGAGTACTCACATACCTTATTAGTGTTTGCTCCAATCACTTGTGAACAGAGACATGAAACACAAAGAACCCATTGAGCCACGGATTGTTTTGGTTCAGTGCACTTTTCACTAATTAGCATGTCATCCAATCAGAGAGAGCCCATGCACTATACCCCCTAACGATGTGTGTGCTGGAATACTGCGAATGGCAATACAGAAAATAATGTTGTATCATCTGGGCAAATGATAAGTTAAAAGAGTGTCTATGTCTCACTTACAACCCGCATGAATACTTTATAATAATGAATATGTTTACAAAGCATAAAGTGCGCCAAAATCTCTGATCGGTGTTGCTCCCAAACAGGTCTGACGATGCTGGTCCCAGTCTACATGCGGGTGATTGATAAGACAGAACCGTGTGGTGCTTTCAAAGGTTGCCTCGTAACTCTGCTATAGCACTCTGGCAACTTTGGAACAGTATAAGCAGACTTTTTGGGCAAATCTAATCACGTTTTTCACACATGGTCAACTGCAGTAGCTCAAGTCATTTCATTTCTGAACCGCACAATAAATGTTTCCCGCTTTTTCTGCACCAAAACCAATCAAAAAAGCATGTACAGATAGCGACTATACACAATCGCTATCCGTTCTGTGCGTTTTTACTGTGCTCTTAAATGCATCTGCCGACCTTGTCTCGGTAGTATTCGGTTTACATGGTTAAATGTATGAACAGATAAGTAAATAGTAAAATCCAGTTACACCAAACCGAACTATAGGAGAGTTACCCGGTTTTCACTACTGCTTTGTAAACGTGAACGCATCGACCGTCTGTGAATTGAGGCTTGTACAGTGAGCAGTGAACAAGCAAATAGAACATGTGATTCTAATAACTTTGATCCTGTCTGCTGAGGTCTGCTGCTGGAATTGACTTAAAATGTGCAATAAATATTAAGTTTTGAGGCATTGAAACGCAGTGAAGGTGCCAGCTGTATAACTAGAATATAAAATGATATTAGAAGCAACATTAAAAAACCCTCTTTTGTTGAAGGACAGTTTTGTATTTGCTGAAAAACGGAACTGTTTCATAATTCTTGTTTCTAAAAAGGCCTGTTTCATCTTGTGCCACTATTATGTCAGTGCAATAAACACGGCATGGCAAGGGCGATAGCAGAACAAGACACGGCAAAGTTAATAAGCTAGAGCTGGTAAACAGAAACTATGGCAAGGATTCTACATAAGATTCCAAAAAAGAAACTCTAATTCTTGATGCCTATGTTTTTTTGCATCTAAATGAAAAAACAAAAAAACAGCAGTAAAAATATAAAGTGTATTGTTTCGTGGTGGTGTTTCAATATTTTTGATGGGTAGAGGGTTCCAGACTTTGAGGTCAGCTGTACGACATGTTAAATGAATTACTGTAATCTAAATACTGTCCGCACTCAATTGAATAAAACTATAACGTAAAATGCATCACATGGCCACAAGCTTAAGTGGACTGACTTGCTTTACTTTAGAAGTCAAAGCAACAGTCCTCACACTTCACTCACTTTTAATGTATCTATTCCTTGGTCAACAAAAAAAGAACAATTTCACAATCTTTTAACCGTATCAAAGAAAGATCACTTCCTTTAATACATTTGCCTGACTGAACTGTTTCAAAAGAAGCGAACTGACGAAGTGATAATGGACCAGTGTACACTTGTCTGGTGGTTTCACATATCAACATGAAGCATTTTGCCCCAAGTGAATGAGAATCAGGTCCAAATGAAGTGGGAGTGAGCCCTCAAAAGGGTTAAAATACACATCAGTACAAAATATAACGTTTGCTTTAGTAAATGTCCGTTGAATATAGCATGATTAAACTACTGAAATGCATCCATCAATCCTCAACACTATCTACCTAGAGTATGTATGGCTCTCTGGACACGCACTGTCTAAACATAAGCAGCTTCCCATCACGATGCTTTGGCTTGAATGGACAATCAATATAATCCACTTTAACAGGAGCTGGACACAGATTACTTGAAGGTTAAACATTGAGGCGTATTGAAATGCAATAGAGCTGTCTATTTATTATTATTGGAGCACTTTCAAACAGACTATTAATGCACAAATCAAACGTGAAATGCGGCTCTCAACAGACGGAAACATCCCTCTGATACGGGAAGCAGGTTGGCCTCGCTCAGTGCGGATGGCGCATTAAAAGCCCGGAAAGCAGCCACAACAATATACAACGTGGGAAAAAAAAGTGCATGGATGTCACACACCTCCAGCTTCATTGTCTTATTAATGAGTTTCATGGAAATTCCTGGAACAAGTGGGCTGCGTGATGGTCTAAAACGATATTGTGATTTCCTTTGACGCACAACGGGCGATATGTACTGAGAGCAGAAAGTCTCAAAGGAGCATTAATGGATAGACAATCAGTGTTTTCTATTACTTTGAAGTGGCTAAGTGGACATCCTGTTTTGAGTCGAGTTTCCCCGAAGGATTAGGATGTGAGATAAAGGAAGGAAAGGTTACATTGCGGCAGGTTAATTGTTTTTTCAAGGTTTTTTGCTTTTTGGCACTGGCTACACAAGAAAACATTGGTGAATGTATATTTTACGCACAAAAAGCTAGAACAAGATGGAATTAAAATACTCTGATGGGTCGTTTTTGTCGCTTAATTCAGTCATAAACAAAGGGTCTCACCTGAAGCTGCAAGTCCAAACAGGACCAAATAGAGCCCGCTGGCGCGCATTGGAATTGGATGGAGGGGAAAAAATTAGAAGTCTTTGAAAGTGGACCAACTCCTTCGTGGACTCCCCAATGTCCCCCCGAAAAAAGATTCTGTGCGTCTTCGTGGATATTAGCTGCGTTTACGTGTATCAAAAAGAGTTCAAACTAACAGTAAAAAAAAATGCCTCCTTCCAAAGACGCGTCCCAACTCGCCACTGCCAAAACTCTTCCCAAACCCTCCCACCACTTTTGCAGGCGGAGTAAAAAAAAATGCACAGTGTGTCTAGTTCAGTGAATGGGTTCTCATCCGCCACATGGTCCGAGGAGGACGGAGACTGGAGGCTCCACATCTATTCATCTTCTTTTTTTTCTTTTTCGCGGTGATTTAAGCACTGGTCCGACCGGTTCGGCTCCTTGCGCACAGGCAGGAGCGGGTGCGCCATACCAGCAGCGTGACGCGCGCTGGGCTCTGTCGTCATGGAAGATTATGTATGGGGAGAAATGTGGAGACAAGAGAATGTTGTAGTGTGTGAATGAAGAAGACGAAGAAGGGAAAGGGAGACGGAGTGGACAAATACATTCAAATGCGCTATCGTGATTTGGGCTTTGTTAGCACAGGCACTCCCAGAACAGTCAACTTTGTGACTTTTTCTCTATATATGTGCAGTCATTATTAATATTATCAATATGTCATTATTATTAAATTGTCTTTTTCTTACATGTGGAGTTCTACCTTCCCAGAACAAATTCTTGTTATCATAGCAACACACTGTTTACTTGTAGCAGCATTTAGCTTTTCAATCAACTGTTTTTGCTGTATTTACGTTGTATCAACCGGCATTTATTAAAAGTGGGTAAAAGTAAACCTCTGGTAGTTCTAGTATAGTTTCATCATTCAGATAACATACAGTTGAACAGTTGTGCTTGAAAGTTTACACACCCAGTAGGAGATTTTATTCTTTTGGCCATATTTTGGAGATAACGAATGATACACAGCATTCGTTCACACAAACTCACTCTTCATTAGAGATTGTGTGAAGCCTTAATATTGTGCAGCACGTGTTCTTATGACATAATTGAGCCGCGAGACAAGTCAGCCCAGGAATTTGCTGGAACTTTCTTCCCATTTCTTTTATCACTTTAAAACAGGATAATTGGGCTTTTCCCTTTGGCAAATCTTGTTTTAAGACAGTCAAAATGTGCTCAAGTTAAACTGAATTTAGCCAAATGTTAGCCATTTTTATCTTGTTTTTCATCACTTTTTATCCAATTGCATCACTGATATTTTGAATATAAGTAAGTTAATGATACATTGCAAAACCTTTTTCCAAATCGCTTGTTGATATGGAGAAGTTTTTTGTTTTCCTTCTTTAGAATGAACTTCAGTTTGGTGCAAATGTGAACCTCATTTTATCACAAATGTTTTTACTTCTAAAAAACTGAATTCTTTATCTCAGTGGATTCATTTAATGCCTTATAATGGAATCTATCCTTGAGCATTTAGAATCTACTTTTTCCCTGCAACCTAGATTTTAAATGACCCGCAAAAAAGCAGATCCTCCACATGACGTTGTGTAACGCACCTAAAAATAGTTTTCTTAACCAACATTGAGCAACTTCCCAGTTCATGCTCTTTTATCAGAAAACACGAGGGATTTCACTTGACCAGTAGTGAAAAGGCAATGATCCGCAGCTGTTCATTTCTGAATAGTACCACCAGAGGGCAGGAACGTACTCTTTTACGTTTGGCAGCATTGGAGGCTAGATCATTTTAAATATATAACAATGAGCTGGAAATGACCCCACATACATTTATTTATATGTGCTGCATTAAATTAGCCAATACAACTAAACATAACAAACATGTGAGGCACTATAGGCCATTAGATACAGTACATACATTCATTTTTAAACACTATATAGACATATTCCTATTTATAAATTACACATTGTACTCTCTTTTACACCACATAGTTTAATTTCTATTTAGCAACTGTATTTAGAATATGGTGACATTAAGCCCATATGTTTGAAAAGGAGAATTCTTAGGCTGGGTCTTTCATGGCTTCATAGAGTTTTTTCTCTTTGAGGTGAATTCAAAACGAGAGCCTTGACTTCCTGTGTGTGGTGCACAATGTTGAGAGAATCGCACACAGAGACACGAACAGGAACAAACTCGTCTCCATCTTCATAACCCGTGATGATAGTTTAACTTTAATTGTTTGGTCAAATATTTCAGTTAATAGAATGACTTCAAGAGCTATTTTGACTTTTGTCCTGCTAGTCTCAGCAACTTTGGCAGCGGCGCCTGAAGGTAAAGACCCACAATACAAAATAATTTACAAAGCATGACATAAAACAGTAGAAGATGTTGTACATTTTCATGTGTGTTTCATTTATCTTATTTGTATATAAAATAGAAGTATAGTCAAAGAGAAAGCAGTTTATGTCAACATTTTAATTCTATTATTTTTGTGAAAACTTAAACTCAGAATGTTTTCCTTAAACTTTTCAATTCAGAGATGTCCAATGCTGAATAATAACAGCTGTTATATTGTTAATACATAATAAACCCAATGTTATATTGTTTATTTGAATTTGTTTAAAGGACCCTCTCGAAAAAGAGATCGATTATATCAATGGGGCTATCCCTAAATAAATAAATACATTAGTTTGAGCCAATTTTACAAGAATTGGTGAAATGAAGCTTTCACATTTTTAATCTCCCATCATTTTTGGGTCTCCCATTGTGTGAACTATGGGCCCGGTCTGTTCTCGTCTGCAAAATGTTTGTGTTTGTGTGTTTTTTAAGGTGGTGTGTCGTTCTGGGGGGGAAAAGTAACACTGCGCTGTCCTGGCAACGGAACGTGGTTTAAAGTCAATGGAAAGAAAGTTGAAAGTGTGGAGACTGAATCCACGAAGAAGACATATGAATATAAATACACTACTGGCAGCAAGGACCATTACTACTGCAAATACAATGACCAAAAATACCATTTTTATATCCAAGGAAAAGGTGAGGGCTCTGAAATGCAAAAATATATGTGCAACTTTGATGGAGCCATTTCAAAACCAATTTCTCTATCGTTCCAGCGTGTGAATACTGTTTTGAGTTGGATGGCCTGGTTTTGGCAGGAGTTATTGTTGTGGATGTGATTGGAACAGTCGTAGTTATGCTCACAGTCTACAAATGCACCAAGAAGAAGAAGAAGGCCGCAGCGTCGCCACGTGCAGCCAAACGTAAGAACTGGAGCCAACGAACCGGCTGAAATCACCCTATTGTGAACATCCACACTATCCATTCAGCATCAAATTTTTTATATATATTTTTTTTATCTCCTAATTCACAGCTGTCCGTCGCCGGGAGGAAATACCCATTGACTCAAATTATGCTGTAAGTATATCGATGCTTATCCATTTATTTATTCAAGTTTAGATTTCAATTTAACAATAACGTTTAAAATTTGTAATCATATGTTATCCTAACTGTGATAAAAAAAAAGTATGTGTTCCCTTCAACAACATACTTGTTAAAGATCTAATGGACCTCATATGATTGAAAAGTCAGTATTTTTGCTTAGTTTGACATAAAATCAACTAACATGTGAATTATTTTTGTCACAGTTTACATCTTTATGATCACCTTTAATATAGATTTAATTTAGTTTTACGCTGCACACATATAGCACATTATGTAAAAGTAATGTGACCACAAAGTCTTAAAAAATATTTGGCGCTTTGGACTGATTGGCTGAGTGAGGTTTTCAACTTTTTCAGTCTAAAAGAAACGGATGTGACAGAAGCCAAATTAGTACATTCATGTAAAAACTAGTGATAGATCCAACTGTTTTAAGAGAAAGGAACTAGTTACATGTATTTTATTACAGTACATAGTTCCATGTTCGTGATTTGACAATATTCTTCTGTGCGTAAGTGCAACAAAAAGTAAATGCAGTTTGGTTTTGATTGTGTTTTCTAGCCTTTGAGCGTCCACACTCGCTCCTCGGACTACTCTGTCATTAACAGAACGGGATAGAGACAAGAACTACGGCTTATTCTAATAATGATGATAATAATAATAACATCAGGAGAATGTTGGAAGACTCAACTCACGTCACTGGGATTCTGCGTGAACTCGACTGGGACTCGGCATTTTGCAAGTCTGGAAATATCTGGAATGAGTGTTTTAGTTTCTTTGGTGCAGTGTGGACTTAAATTATTCATAAAGATTTATATCGAATTTGTGGAAAAATAACGACCAAGACTAAGGTCACGTTTCAACTGAGGGTTTTTATTTCAATATTTTATTATCTGTGTTGTAGTTGAACCAGAAAATTCAATTATTTAAAAATAATATAAATGAAGGGATAACAATTTCTTAGATAAACTTCCCTTCTGAGAAAGACCTTATTGGGGACCAGGCTTGGATTTAGTGTTGGAAAAAAAAATCTGCAAATGGCAAATAAATGATTGGATCTTGAATCTGAGTAAGATTGTGACGTGAAGCATAAATCCATCTACTTGTGTATAGTACAACCTGATATGTATTTTTTGATAATAATTATACAATGCAAAGAATGAAAAAAACAGTGGTGAAGAAATGAATTAAACAGTGCTGCAGAATCTCTATATTTAACATGAGAAGCCGTGTAAATTGAGTTCAAGGGAATATACAAAGACCTAAAATACTTTAAAAATGCCCTTCCTGTTTATTTCTCACACACAGAGAATTTATAGTGGGAAAAATACTAACAATACTAAAAAAAAAACTGTTGGAGTCATCCTTGGGTGGGCCAGAAAACCTGAGTAACACCAATATATTACACTGGCATTCATTTTTCTTCATATTATCATTTTTTTTTCAATGGTTTGCCACGACAGTAGTTTGAGCAGCTTTTGTAATTTTTATTTGAGAATTTTATTGTAATTCTTTTATTATTTTTTTCTGGAGACTGGGTTGTGTCGAAATGCAGATTTGTCAATTGAAGTTGGAACAAGCAAAAGCCAACACGTTTCCAGAGATTTTTTTGGAAACGATTGGATAAATACTGTATTCCAGTTCAGTCCAATTAAACTCAATTTTGATATTTCAATTTAAGCCATTTTAGATTATATCTCGTCTTTGTCTGCAGTTTTTTGTATAAATATATATTTTTGGCAAGGACTTAAATCTTTTGCAGTCTTTACAACTTGCTACTAGCGTCCAGTAACATTGGGATTTCAATTGCGACTAATCGTGAAGCTCAAATCAAAAGTATTGTCGTCAAAATAACTACTGCAAGTCGTAGTCACATGTAGCAGGTAGAATATTTCATCTTTATATTGATCACTTACTTTTTTCTCATGTTGAAGTGTACATATGTATATGCATTAAAATGTCCGTTGTCTTAAAGTACTATGTGCTTTGTTTGACAGAATTACCACAATTCTGTCATTTGAACCTGAGATTTTTTTTACCTATTGTTATCCATTCACCATCTGTTATGATATGCTGATTCTATTGTTTTCATGTTACACCAGAATGCTGTTTGTCTTAAAATGTCTGTGTATATAATCGAAAAGACTTGTCTGAGTTTGTTTTGTTGTTGAGATCGTTTTTTTCAAACTGTGTTCAGGTTATTGTTCATTATTCATTATTGCCTCTTATAGGAAACAGCAATATGTCATTCTCACAGACGCTGGAGGTTCTAACCACACTTTGTTCAAAGCTCATTTCCGTAGCATCACTTTGTCTTTGTGTCAAGTGTCGAAATGCTTCCTCTAAGATTGAAAAGGACTGAAAAGTTGTGGAAACTTATATGATGAAGATCTTATTCATGCAGCCGTACACATCAACAATGGAAATCTCACGAGCCAAATCAAGTTTCCTCGAAGTGAGCATTGTGTACATGGAAATAAATGGCAAATATAGACTAACCTTTTGATTAAAGAGGGAGAATATAATATGTACAAAAATACTGTCATAGAATTCTGAGTAAAATCCAGTTGACAGTTGAAAGTATACAGTAGGAAGAGTGATAGTATTCTTGGAAAGTGAACTTGCTGTGTGTATGTGCAAATGTGATTCCCAAATATATCTTTGATGAAATATTCTATTTATTTTTTCAATCAATCAATCATGTTTATTTATAAAGCACAATTCATGCAGTGCAACCCAAAGTGCTTTACACAAACATAAAATCAAACACATTTACAAACCTTTAGCATAAAAACTAAATAATGATGAAAAGATAAAATGGAATTGTTGCTATGAAAAGAAACATTTCAGACTGAATGTCAGAATTGAAACTGTATAAAAGCTCAATATATAAAACTCAGTCAGATGCACAGCTAAAAAGGACGGTTTTCAGCTTATACGCCTCCTGTACATCATCAGGGAGGCTGTTCCAGATTTTTGGGGCATACATCTGAAATGCTGCCTCCCCATCACAGACTGTACTCCCTATGCCTAGTCCTGACTCTGGGCACCAGCAGGAGGCCAGTCCCTGTGCTCCTCAGAGTCTGAGTTGGCTCTTACGGCACCAACATGTCACCGATGTACTTCGGTGCAAGACCATGGAGAGACTTCAACACAAGCAGAGCTGTTTTAAAGTCTATTCTGAGCCACAGGAAACAAGTGCGAAGACCTGAGGACTGAACTAATGTGATCATACTTCCTGGTTCTAGTCAGGACTCGAGCTGCTGCATTTTGAATATACTGCAGCTGTTTTACAGCATGTTTACAGAGACCAGTGAATTGGCCATTGCAGTAGTCTAATCTACTGGTGACAAATGCATGAATACGTTTTTCCATATCTGGTTTAGACAACATATTTTTAATTTTGGCGATATTGTTTAGGTGATAGAATGCTGCTGATGTTATGATGTTATGTGCCTATCAAATTTCAGGTCAGAGTCCATTATTATTACCCCAAGATTTCTTACTTCACTTGTTGGTTTTAAGGTGAGAGACAGTCAACACTTTCCCTTTGTTTGTGTAGGCCAAAAACAACAACTTCAGTTAAGTTAAAGGAAATTGTTCTGCATCCACTCACTGATCTGTTGAATGCATTGGCAGAGGGAATGTATTGGTCCATTTTCTCCTGCAGTAAGTGAAAAATATATCTGGGTGTCATCTGCATAATTGTGATAGGACACATTGGTTCTGTGGATTAGCTGGCCTAATGGCAGCATGTAGTTATTAAATAGGAGAGGCCCCAGGTTTGACCTTTGGGGCACTCCACATGTCAATGCCATATGATCTGAGCCAAAAACCTGTGCATCCAGTTTTCAAACATTAACAAACACACATGTCAAAATTTGGTACAACACAACAGACATCAGATTCATTGTCTAAAAAACGATTAATAATATCTAATAATAAGAGTAAGTATATTCTAGTTTCCCTTTTGCAGGAAGCCAACACAAGAACCAATGCATGTAATCTTCTGGTATCTTTAAGGTTTCCCCTTGATTCCTAGTTACAAAAGAAAGTTTAATTTTATCTTATCTATTAAATCTAGAAGTCCTTGTCAACATTTTTTGTGCATTTGTTTCCCGAGCAAAGCACAAAAGGATTATGCAGAGATTTTAATTTTTCTTATGATCACCATTCAGTAATGCAGATGTTTCTAATGGCATCTTGCCCGAGGACGATAGTTGATAACTAGCTTTGTAGCTAAAACTGGCACTATATTTGAAATGTTCACTGCCTCTGTTCAAATGAATGAATGGATAAAAGACAATCCAATAAAACACAATGTAATAATAATAATAATAATAATAATGTTGATAATTATAATGATAATGTTAATAACGATGAAAATGATAATGATAATAAAATCATTTCATTTTTTTATTTTCTTTCAATAATAATAATATGTAAACAAAAAAACAGCTCTTAAACGAAGTGACATGACTGATACACACAGTGCTGTTGTGAGCTGTTGTGCGTAGTGTGTACTGTACGTGTTATGTACTTGTTGTTACATTATTTTTAAACTATTTGATGTTGCTTCGGTGTGGTTCAAAGTGTTTCCGTCGTCTGACATCAAGAGGCTTTTCTCAATACCCTCGCAGGGTTTGGTATTTTTATTGTTGCTGCATAATGAAAGGTTTAAAGCACTATTCACAGGATCAATGCAATTTCAGACACACTGCATAAAACACAAGGAATAATACAAGTTTCAGATTTTTTTCCACAAATCCTATAGGTTTCACACATAGGTGAAACTTCAGATGTGTTTTATGAGGTAAATTCAAGCACATCAACACTGCATTCCAAATAAACAAGTTTTTTACAAGTTTAAATATAAAGATGTCATCATAAAAAGCAGAGTAATCTGGTTTGTTGTCCACTATCTCGCCAGTTCATCATAAATCTCCCGTTGGCCATTTCTGAATCTCAAGCGCTGCAAATATAGAAAAGATCATTATTTGGAAGTAAAATGAAAAGCTAAAAATGTTCATATTTGCAGCATCATACCTGATAAGGATCGCTGGTTGCTTCATTTGGAACAAGACGCTGCTTGTCAGAGCCTAAAAGAAATTGAATAAAGTTACAATAGTCCTGGAAATATTTGAGTGTGTATCTGTTATAGTGTAGATATTGGGGTTATTCTACTGCTGTAAAACGGCATAATCACTGCTTCTGTAGTGATGGAAGAATGTCATATTTTGTAGTTCAATGATATTATTTTGTCATGAATAACACATTGTTTTTTACGGAAAGAGTCTTGTAAAATAATTTTTGGTGAACAAATCAGACCACAATATGCTGTCTTCATCTAATTAGAAAACACTGCATGATGAGATGAGATGTACTTTATTATCTCACAATGGAGAAATTAAGACAGTGGGTACTGGGGGAGACAGTAGCTCAGTTGGTAGAGCATTGGCCTTTGGGCCTGACGGATGTGAGTTTGAGCCCACCGTAAGACCTACTTCACAACTCCCACTGATGACTGCTGTCGTTGTGTCCTTGGGCAAGACACTTAACCCCACTTTGCCTGAAGCCCCCACTGAAAGATCTCAGCTCCTGTGGACTCACCACCTGCAGGAGGATCAGTGAGGGGCTGGTGCTCTGTGTACTGGGTGCCGCTCTGACTGCCACCCCCCCAACCCATAAATGGATGGATGGATTTTTTGTTTGTTTTTTGAGAAAACCTAGAATACACTTTTCTGATTATGTTTTGCATAAAGCAAAAGATAATGTGAGTCACTATTTGACTCTGAACTGATTGGCTGAGTGAGGGTGGTCGTCACTTTTTATCTATTCTCTCTCAAAAATTGCCTCATGCATGTGTAAAATAGTGAGAAAACTGTTTTTCAATGGATTTGATTGAATTCATTGTGAAAATTAGGCCCGCAGCTTGAAATAAATAGTGTGATTGTGTAAAGTGTGTGTAGGAGTGTGTAAAAATGATACCCTTTTTGTTGGGAGAAGTTGTCTGAGAGTGTTTTGCGATGAGAAAAATAGACACTCCGATCACAACCGTGGCCAAAACGTCACCCACAATCAGCCCCGCGGCAGACATGACGTCCAGCTCCACGCAGTTTTCACAGGCTGCAAAATACATACCACACATCACACAACAACACGTGCATGAGGAAATAAATATTAAACTTACTTCGAAATTTGACGAATATCTTCTGCTCCTCTGTTGAATTCTTACACACGTACTCGCCTGTGTTGCTGTCTTGGTATTGTACCATGTTATCGGCCAATAGGAACTCTCCTTTATAGAGTATTTGATGAGATGCACACTTTATTTTTACTCCACCAGAAGAAGATTCTACTTCTAATCCAGATTTCACGCTCCCTGTTAAGAAAGAGTAAAACATTTGAGAAGTAATGTGTCAAACCAACCATAAATAAATGAATAGAGGTATGCAAAACACTGCAAAAATGATAAAATATGAGGTGATAATAATAATAATAATATCTTGAATCAAGTGTTCGAGTACATTCTGACTTAAAACATGTTTAAAACTTAAAACAAATTCCATTAATTTTCATTCCAAATGCGACTAACTTTATAAGACAAGATCATTTTTGCTTGTCCCATTGGCAAATCTTATTCAAAATGTGCTCAAACAAAAATACATTTAGCCCATTTTCTCATCACTTTTTACAGTGTATGGATGCTCTCAGGTCTGAATATAAAAGAGGTCTGACTGAAACTATTATTGATTTCTGATTTCTGTGCATTTTAGTCAAAGTCAAAGTCAACTTGAACCATGCAAATACAAAAGCCAATGAAAAATGCATAAAATGACAACAAACTGAATGCGCATATGTAGACTCACCAGGAATGCACACCAGAAGCAACAGTAACTTCATCTCCATGTTTCCAACTAATTTTACACCTTAGCTGATTATTCCTGTAGGAAAGAGCGTGTACACGTTGGGAAATGCAGGTATATAGTCCCCATGTAGTTCCCCAAAAATGTTAAATGTTTCTTCTTACCTTGAATTCTTGCTCTTGATGCTGTGTGCTTGTGTTGTTGAGCGTGTGCGGATGCAGTGTGGGTTAGTGTGGGACGCAACAGGAAGTGTAGCCTCCACTTTAACGTCGTAATTGATTGTTTATTGAGAGAAAATGGTGATTATGGAAGAGCTCAATATTTGAATTAAAAGCCATGCATAATATCGTTATTGTATTTAAGATTATAACGGATTTAACCTTTATTGTATTTTAGTTTATAAAATATATTACAACTGTGTGTGTCATCCATCCATTTTCTCCCGCTTCATCCATTGCCGGGTCGCGGGTGCAGCAGTCTAAAAGGCAGAGACACCCAGACTTTCCTAACTACATAAATACCACTAAATAATAGACTTTTCTGATTATCTATATCTTGTTCTTTCCCTACCCCGAGTGTCCTTTCGCTCTATACTGTAGTCAATCTTTAACAGATTTTTTCCCAATAGTCATAAACATTTCGATTCGGTAAGTAATCTTTATTTGTATAGCGCGTTTTACTGACCAAGGTCACCCAAAACGCTCCTGCAATGTATTGAAGTAGCCTCCGACTATAATCATCCATTCACTCACTCATAACATTCAGAAATAGTGTAATTTTTTTTTTGTGGTAGAGAAAACCGGAGCACCCTATGCAGAAATGGGGAGAATGGGCCTGGTGGGAGCATTCTCCACATGTGTCGCTCCCATTAAAGTCATAGAAAGAACACATGCATTTAAACATGAGAGAGAAAATAATAAAAACATATTTGAGTACAGAACTGTGGAACATTTGAAACAAGCAAATAGCATCTCAACGTGGACAAGAAGGTGTTGACCAGAAGTGATATTGAACAAAAACTGGGGACTGGAAATACTATCTCCCCCCCCCGCCCACACACACACACACACACCTTGACCCAGAAATGGACAAAAGGGGAAGAAAATGGATAGATGAATGGATGGATGGATTTTTTTTTATTGGTCTCTAAAGGGCAAAGTAGAATTTTAAAATACAAACTTCACTTTAAAGCTGACATGCTAACATTTAAATTTGACACATAAAAAATAATACATCTATTTAAGTCCATAGCGAGTAACATTACAAGTCTTGCTGGATAAATATCAAGGTTAAAAAAAAACTGTTTTGTGAAAATGTGATCAAAAATGAAGCCATGAGGATGGTGATTAATCTTTTTAGGTTGCAATGTGTAACATAAATAACAAAACAAAGTATTTCTCAATGGTACCAAAAGATTTTAGTTCTGAGATAGAGCTCAGAAAATCTAACATTTCGTCCCGTGGATGTAATTTTTGTCACAGATCTAGTTTTGATTCCAGTTTTAGTATTGATTAATGACAACCTCACTTAGGCTGAATTAATTTTCCATCATATAATGTTTTCCTTGATCACATCTGAAACAAACTTGTGACTATCTATTTCCTGTGTGAAGAAAAGCCACAGAAACCATGAGCCGCAGCCACCTGCTCCAACATCTACAACATCTATACTGCATCTAAACGCTCACATTTCTCTGCAGCTGCTGCTCCGCAATCCATTAAACATGTCCCACTACTGCACCTACAGCCATGACAGAAGTCCTGAGTGTGTTTCTGACATGATGTGATGTACTGTATATGAATGTTCTCAATTACAGTCTGTGCTTTAGTCACGAGAAGCTGGTGTCAGGGCTCCCTCTGAAGGCAGAGGAATGAATAAAACCATTTACAACTGAACTCTTTAAACCCAGAAACTTCCTCCACAAACAAAGATTATCTTATTTTAAATATTTTCATATTTTCAAAGCTGTTCCAATGTTTTGTCAAATTTAAATGATATGTTTTAGAAATTCTGCCAGACACCTCTTATACCTAATTTTATCATTTTGAAGATACACATTAGTTTGACCAAAGCTAAAATGGAAGGTTCTACTATTGACTTTGGATGTATAGTTATAATTCTCTATTCCTCTATTTTGGTTGAATTCATAGTGAATTCTGAATTTACTGTACATTGCCATAATACCTATCCATCCATCCATCTGCTTGATCCGTTGCCGGGTTGCGGGGGCAGCAGTCTAAGCAGAGACGCCCAGACTACCCTATCCACACACACTTCCTCCAGCTCGTCAGGCCAGCTGAGAGACATAGTCCCTCCAGCGTGTCCTGGGTCTTCCCCGGGGCCTCCTCCCGGTGGGACGTGCCCAGAACACCTCCCCAGGTAGATACCTATATATCTGGAAATATAATCATCCCATCTTCAAGCACATGTGAACATAGAAGAGACATGAACAATCCTTACTCAGAATGGAAAAAGTGACCAAGAACAGTTATTAAAGTATTACATTCAATATTTTCAGTATAGCGAACAAAATGTTGCATTGCATTTTCAGGATCAGAATAAATAAAATGGACAAAATCTTAATATAATCTTTATTCAATGCTTTACCACACACTGTACATGTGCATACAGTAGATGCTACATACAAATACAGCTTCATAATGCACCTTTTGTAGACACAAAGGTCAAATATCAAATCTCACTGAGCACACATTTTTGGATAATCAGCTGTTAGCATAGAGCAGGGAGCGCATGCCGTTACTGGGGGCATTATGGGTAAGAAACGCACAATGACAGACAATCAGTACATACTGTATGTGTGAGTATGGCTTGGTCGGTTGGATGCATGAACGTTGCAGAGACACCAGTATTAGGAGCAGTGCATGGTCCAGGAGACACACAGAGAGAGTAGACACCTGCAACATTGAATTTCGGTTTAATAAAAGTAAGGATTATAATTGGTAACGAAAAAACATAATTTGCTTTGTAGAATCTGAGGTCCACTATTTGCCTGCAATGTTTATTCAGATATTAGATTCCTCTTAATTTCACTGGAAGATATTTGTGCATGGCATGGATTGGGTGAAACCGGAGTGCCTGAGGAAACCCGTCCTGCGTGTGAGGCCTGAGCACTATATACCCACTAAGCCACCATGTTGCCAACGCTTCATTGAGTAGTGTATTTATTATTATTATTTTTTATTTGGTAGGGACAGAACAAGAAGCCTTGTTACAGGAACCGATGCTGTGTTCATAGGCCGTATAGCTAACAGCTAGTTTGTAGACCTGGTCCCTATATATGTATTCCTCTCTATAATAAATATTAGTCTGGCTCCAGGGGGCGCCAGAGTATACTTTATGAGTGACAGGTGCAACCGGAGTCAAACCGAACTCAGGACCTTGTTTCCGTGCAACTATAAAATAAAATAAAAACGATAGCAAACAATGTTATTTTTTGTCTTGTCTGTCTACATCAGTGTTCCCCAACCTTTTTGAGCACTGGCCCAACTTTTGGATTTAAAACAATCGCATGGCACACCAACCACTGAAACTGTTACAAAAATATAACTCTGCAGCCTTTATTAACAAAACAAAGTCATTCTCAGCAAAGTGTATAATATAGAAAATCAAACAAGTGCAAAGAAGTATCTCTAGTCTTCTAATAAAAAAAATTTTCACAATACTTCGACCAGGTAGGCTTTATCGGATAATTTCCCAAGGCACACCAAATAACATCTCAAGGCACACTAATGAACCATGGCAGACTGGTTGAAAAACACTGTTCTATAAGTTTTAAAATGGACCTAGAATCTGTAATTGATCGATTGATTGATAACAATAATCCCAATCAGCGTAATGACAATTTCTATCAAGCAAAACAAATAATAGAGCTAACACAAGCCCGTTTGATGGACAGCTTGGGTGTGGTTCAGGGAGGTAACTAGGAAGAGATGATTTATTTAACATCTTGTATGACAGCCTACAACTGCAGAGGGTGAAAGATTGTGTCCAGAGTGTACCAGTGTCCCTGTCTGACGATGGCCGTGGTGTGAGCAGCTTAGAGCTACATTGAGTGGTACATTGGATTGGCAGATCTGTGTAAGCCTCACCAGAGATGACCTGTTGTTTAGTAGGGGAGTTTCTCATGCACGATCACTGTTACGTCAGAGCCAGATTTCCTCGCTGCTCGTGCTGTTCACTTTGTAGATGTAGCCCACCATCGGATACCGAGCAAAACCTGTGGTCAGAAAAGGAGATGGATCACCTTTTACTACAGCGTTACAACATAGACATAGTGGAATATGCTCTGTTTTTTTGTTTACCTCTGGCAGCATAGGCCAACGACAAATCTTCCTCGTCCAAACTGTGTTGTTTCGCAATGTCTCGAACTACAGTCAGGAGGGGACAGAGTCAAAAATATGACAAGATTGAAGCATAATTATCAGCAAGCTAATAAGGTCAATGGCAAAACTTCAAATCCATGTAGCATCACGTCTGCTGTTGTGGCCCTGGCCCTGGTTTGAAGCCAGCTTAGTTCTGAGGGAGGTTTGTTCCTGGTCTAGCCCACGTCAAGGCCCTACTTTGTGTGAATGTGTTCTCAATTTTAAAAGTGTGAAGATTCAGTTACAACAAGACGTTGGAAACAGGGACAGCTGGCAATTTAAGCTGTAAGATTGACTGATACAAGCCAACCTGTTTTTCAGTGTATTTAATTTGATGCTATGACGTTTTACAAGAGAAAAGTATGAAGCTCTCTGTTATACATGGTGTGAAGTAAAAAGTGAGACCTTGCCTGAATGGAAAGTAGGGGTGTTATTTATTCATATATTGTACACAATACAAAATCTTACTTGTCCTGTACTTACACTCCCACTCACTACTGAGACAAGAGGTAAACAGTAGCAGTTATTAGTGATTTGATATATTTATGTATTGATTTATTTTATAGGGACCAGTATACGCAATCAACATGTGAGACATTACATTAGCCAAGGCTAATTTGCAATATAGTGTAGTACTGCACTCAGACCTAAATCTCAGAAGCCACATAAAATCAATAACATCAACAGCTTTTTACCATCTGAAGAACATTGAAAAAGTTAGAAATATAGTGTCCAAAGCAGACCTGGAGATTCTTATCCATGCATTTGTCTCCAGTAGGTTAGACTACTGCAATGGCCTGTTCACAGGTCTGTCCAAACAGGCTGTAAAACAGCTGCAGTACATTCAAAATGCAGCAGCTCGAGTCCTGACAAGAACCAGGAAGTACGACCACATTAGTCCAGTCCTCAGGTCTCTGCACTGGCTTCCTGTGGCTCAGAGAATAGACTTTAAAGCATCTCTGCTTGTTTACAAGTCTCTCCATGGCCTTGCACCAAAATACTGTACATTGGTGACATGTTGTGCCCTATGAACCGGCTCGGACTCTGAGGAGCACAGGGACTGGCCTCTTGCTGGCGCCCAGAGTCAGGACTAAACATGGGGAGGCTGCATTTCAGATTTATACAGCTAACATCTGGAACAGTGTCCCTGAAAATGTGAGAAAGGCGTCTACTGTGACAATGTTCAAATCCAGGTTAAAGACTGTTCTGTTAGCCTGTGCATACAACTGAAGGATTTTATCTCCATTTTTAATGCACTGTGGTTATTTTATTTTATTTTATTTTTTAATACCTTGTGTAATTTTAAAGTTTTAATTTCTTGTGTGATTTTAATGTTTCAATTGTGTTTCTGGTGTTTGTTTTATGTGATGATTTGTGCCTTGGGTGACTGTGAAGCGCTTTGTGTTGCCCTGTGTATGAAAGGCGCTCTACAAATAAACTTTGATTGATTGATAGTATCAGGATATATCACGACCATATTGTTTTGTGAGCTTGGCTATGAACCATGAAGCAAATTGTATTCCCACATACAAAGCAACTGTTACTGTAATATTCACCAGCAGTACCTTCTCTACAGGCAAATATACGTTGTAGTAAAATATGTCTCTTACCTCTTTTTAAAGTGCTGAGGTCGTTCAGTTGCATGTTTGAAGGCAAAGACATGTTTTCTCTGGGCATGTGAGGCTTCTCTGGTTTCTCTGTCTTTAAAGTCGGGGATTCACTGACAGAAGGGATACAAGACAGTGATCAGAACTGGTCACATGTGTTCAAAATGTAAATAGAACACTTTTTTATTGTATGCTACCTCTTTGGGGCCATCACTATCTCCACAGGCTCATCTGAAACACGAGAGAAGCATTTGATAATTTTGAAACTCAAAAAGGTACAGATGAAACAGACCTCACCGATGCTCTTGCTTTTGTTCTTCTGCATGAGGCACAGCACGATGAGGCTGAGGATGAGGAGGGCCATAAACGCCATGGCTCCACCTGTCACGATCCCCAACATTGGCACTTCCACCCGGGACTGCAGGAACTCTGAGGATACAACGAGAGCCATGTAGTGAATACGAGTTCATCAAGAGAAAAAGTATATTCTTAAGAAAAGTTCTTAAATAATACAATATTCTAATCAGTGTGTATGTGTGTATGTGTGTGTGTGTGTGTGTGTGTGTGTGTGTATGTCAGAGGGGCTAGTGGCACAGACTGGTTTCCTCGCTTCTGTCATTGTGTCACAGGGCAGCTGAGGCTACAGTAGTTTATCACCACCGTGTTTGGAGTGAAAGAATAATAGCATGTTAAGCGCCTTTGAGGGGCCCAAAAAGTGCTGTATGAAGCCAATGCATTATTATTATTTTTAATCTCCTAGCTCACACAAATTAGCCACTTAAAGCAGTATTCTAGAGGTATTTAAAGTTAGTATCAATAAATATTTACAGTAGCTCACAGTCTTTTGGGATTGGGACCGACCTGCCAGCGTGAGGTTGCTCTGAGCCGATCCCAGACTATTGTCCGCGTTCAGAGACATGTTTCCTGATAGGCTACTCAGGGCGACACGCAGGCTGTGATTGGTCAGCCAGGGATAACTTTGCGAGTCCAGAATGAGGAAGTCCGAAGTGTTTGCGACCACGTGTCCCGTCTGGTCCATGAAGCTGAGTGTGGCAGGAGGATTGGAGCGAACCAGCGCAAACAGCACCAGAGAGAGGCCCGGGTCTGCGGTCTCACTGTACTGGGCTTTGACTTTGAGGATCTCAGGCTGAACTATAGAAACAGCAAATTATGAGATTATAATCAGAAAGCAAATGTCACTACATGTTGTTCATACATACTGTATTTCTGTAAATCAGTTCATAGTGAGGATTCTAGCCTCATTATTCAATAGCAACCAAGTATTTATTTTTTACAAACTGTATGTTCAGAGTGATAGATAGATCAATCCATAATATTCATACATTGATACTGTATGAGTAATAATGATAATAAAAATGATAATTAAATATAACAGAATAATTGTAAATTGAAATGCATTTGTAAATACATTTTGAAACTGTAAATATTCAACATATGGTGAATATTGTTGCTTGATTGTATTTCTGCTCGAATGAATAATTAATCAATGATATACTGTATGAGGTGATGATTTTATAAAAGTACAAAAAAACATACTTTGAAACTTTCTCTCTATGGAGATAAATAAGATGTATGTCATAATGTGAAAGATTATATCGACATCGTCATAGAAACAAGCAGGAGTCTCCAGTGCTGGCCGTGTTTGTGGAGCTGTAAGCCGGCCTTTAAACACTGGGGCCTTAATAAATATTTTCTCCATAATTCTCCTGAAGCTGCAGACCACAATATGCTGCCTTTTTCTTATTACAAAACATTTCCTTGTTGCATACTTTCACAAACGGGCCTGTGAGTCACTATTTGGCAGTTTGGGCTGAGAGTTGATTAGCCTGGTGAGGAGTGATCCTCTTTTTCACTTATCTGTCTGAAAAAAACTGATTAAAAGTTGGGACAGAGGCAAAAATACAGGCACGTGAATATCAAACACTTTTGATAGCAACAGATATTTTGTGGTTTGGAAGGATAGACTGTATATATTAACAAACATAGTAATGCATTTCTCCGCAGTTGAAACTTATATGCCACCACTTTCGCCGCCTGTGGCCAGTTTCAAAATGGCTGCAGGCAGGAAAATTTTGAAAAAATGTGTTTGCGCATGCGTTAGCCTGTATGAGCCCCATGCATTTGACAAGTGCATTCAACAGTCCACAGCAACTAAACTATACTGGTCCAAAAAAAAACTGCCCACAGCATTGACACACAAATTGGGCCAAGAGCCGACTTTTAGACCATCCTGTAAAGCCGTTTTCGAGAGAGGTAAAAAGACGCCATACAAAAGCATTGGATAATTCTCTTTCTGGGTCCACCCCCACAGGCTAGGAGTGGTATTGCAAGTATGTCAGCGCACGTGCTAATAGACCAAGGACCCGCCCCAACTGTTTGGAAGTTGGGTACCTCAGCTTTAAATGCCGTCTTTAAGTTACAGTTTGAGGAATCATTAGTGTCGTGTCATTGGTGAAAGATCTATGGCGTGATATTTGCCATTGCATAATCCTATGGTATTGGATTCAAATTGACCAACACTAAAGTTTATCTTTTCAGTTTACATATGACCTGTACATATCGACATGAGTGAATAAAGAGACTTACATTGTATATTTAACATGACTGTAGCATTATAGCTTTGTCCTGTTTTGGGGTTGGAGGCAACACACACCAGCTCTCTGTCCCACCGACGCACTTTTAAGGAGAACGTGCTGTTTGGAGAGTTGGCTCTGTCGCTGAAGTCCTCGGGAGGCGGCGGCATGACTCTACGGCCTCTCTTCACCGGAGGTCTGCTCTGCATGTGCTGCTTCTGTTCCCCGTTCAGGTACCAGGTGAGCAGGGGAGGGGCGCGGGGGTCCCAGCTGTCTGTCTGGCAGCTGAAGCGGTGGGTCATGTTCTCCCGCAGGGTCAGAGAGGCGCGCTGACGACCATCGATTTTGGGGCCAGACTCAACTGCACCTGGGAAGTGGAAGATGTCTTAGTTTATGTCTTAAAGATGCAGTCAGTGATTTTTTCCAGACACATTTATTTAAATATTGTGGGGAAACGTCCCTAAACCCTAAAAGTAGTCAAGTTATCATGTGTTTTCAAATAGTAATGGAATTGACCAGATGCCTATAGTCTACAAAAATTAATAAAAAGTATTTTGGAGTGGACTAAATAAACCAGACATGGGCAAACTTTTCCTCCTGAGGGCCACATTGGAAATTAAGTCCGGATCTCTACAGCCGTCTGATATTTCAATGTTTTTCTAAGGCTTCATTTTAAAACATAAATGGTTTATATGAAAAAAATAGCTCTGCACACAGCAAAGAGGGGGATTGTATGATATTTAAACTGAAATTACCCCACTGTGGGATGAATAAATGTTCTTAATCCTAATCTCTCTTGATCTTAATCTTAATCTATATAAATTGAGGCGAGCTCAGGGGCCTGATAGAAGCATCCAAAGGGCCGCATTTGGCCCACGGGCCGGGGTGACATGTTGTGCCCACCACTGAAATAAACCAATGGGATTTGTTCATCCCCAACGAACAAATGGGATGCGTTTACCCCCTTCACCCTCTTCATATCTATCGGTTTCCTAAAACCTAAAATGACAGAACAGAAAATGCCAATTTCACGTTTGCCACCCACTCTCCCTGTTATGACAAAGAAAAGAAAATCCTGCATGTTTGGTTTGGTGGAGAGGCGAGGGGAGGGGGTGGGGTGAGTGGTTTCGAGTTGGTGCCACGGCTAAGCTAACAAAATCGCTTACATCTTCAATTTAAAAAAGGAGATTGCTTTTTATAAACATTGAAAAATCGCAAATCAACTTTGGCAGGTTCCAACCATAGACTGTATATATTAAAGTTCCAACACAGTCAGTAATTGAGAAAATTATTTTAGTACTTGATTATTCCATGAATTTGTTGAGAGATGTTATGTCAATCAATCAATCAACTTTATTTGTATGGCGCCTTTCCAACACAAGGCCACTCAAAGCGCCTCACAACCCACATAATATCAGACAAATCAGAGACATCAATAAATACATTAAAAACAGAATAAAATCACAAGTAATGGAAAAAAAAAAAAAAAAAAAAAAACCTTAAAATATTAAAAGCACACACGGGATTAAAATAATAAATAACCACAATGCATTAAAAAAAAAAGAGTATGTATCAATAAAATCCTTCAGCCGTATGCACAGCTAAAAAGAACAGTTTTTAGCCCTGATTTAAAAATTGCCAGAGTAGGTGCTAGCCTCACATCTTCAGGAAGATTGTTCCAGATTGTAGCTCCATAAATCTCAAACGCTGCCTCCCCATGTTTAGTTCTGACTCTTGGAACCAGTAAGAGGCTACCTCCTGTGCTCCTCAGAGTCCGGGCCGGTTCATATGGGACTAACAAGTCGCTTAAGTACCCTGGTGCGAGGCCATGGAGAGACTTGTACACAAGCAGTGCTGCTTTGAAGTCTATTCTCTTAGCCACAGGAAGCCAGTGCAGAGACCTGAGAACTGGACTAATGTGGTCATATTTCCTGGTCCTGGTCAGGACTCGAGCTGCAGCATTTTGGACATACTGCAGTTGTTTTACAGCCTGTTTGGACAGACCTGTGAGCAGGCCATTGCAGTAGTCTAACCTACTGGAGACAAATGTATGGATGAGAATCTCCAGATCTGATTTAGACACTATGTTTCTAATTTTGGCAATGTTTTTCAGATGGTAAAATGCTGCTGATGTTACTGATTTGATATGACTGTTAAAATTTAAGTCTGAGTCCATTATAACTCCTAGGTTTCTGACCTTGCCTACAGGTTCCAGGGAGAGAGACTGGAGGTGACGAATAACGCTCTCTCTTTGTTTCTGAGGACCAAAGACAATCAATTCTGTTTTGTCTGCGTTTAGCTGAAGGAAGTTATTTTGCATCCAATCACTAATCTGTTGAGTACAGTGAAGGAGTGATTCCACTGGTCCATGTTCTCCTGCAGTAAGTGAGACATAAATTTGAGTGTCATCAGCGTAATTGTGGTAGGATACATTGTTGGAGCGTATTAACTGACCTAATGGCAGCATGTAAATATTGAACAGAAGAGGCCCCAGAATTGATCCCTGTGGCACTCCGCAGGTCAGAGCCATATGATCTGAGACACAGTTTCCTATCTGAACCAAGTATTTCCTGTCTTCTAGGTAAGACCTAAACCAACTTAGGGCAGTCCCAGTGACACCCACCCAGTGCTCTAGTCTCTGCATGAGGATCTCGTGGTCGACTGTGTCGAACGCAGCACTCAGATCCAACATTACTAAAACTGTGACTTTTCCTGTGTCGGTGTTAAGTCGGATGTCATTTGTAACCTTCACTAGTGCAGTCTCAGTGCTGTGATTGGCTCTAAAGCCGGACTGGAGCGCATCAAAGGAACTATTAGTTACTAAGAATTCTGTAAGTTGTTGGTAAGCAACTTTTTCCAGAATTTTTCCCATAAACGGCAGATTTGAAATGTTAACGCATGAACATGGAAGTAAGTGTAAAACAAATATTAAGAATTGAGTGAATGCCTTCACATGACACAATTAGCCTGGCTCCAGTTAACTTTAAGCCCCGCCCACTGTAATTTTATGTAGGCGGGGCTAAAGGTTGGCTGGACCATGCTATGACACCATGATATTGGGGTTAGTTTTGGAAAACACATCTAGAATTAGCTTTATCTGCTACCACTTGCTAAACATGTATTTATGTTTATTTAGATTAGTGTGTCTGCATGAGTCTGCATGTGTCGTATGGAACAGAAGTGTGAGTAGTTGATACCTGTCCAGGATAAGGCCAGTGTGTGAAGCAGCACGACAGCGGAGCTCTTCATTCTGTCTTCAGCTCCTCTCACTACATCTACCTGCTGCACACAACACACAGTCTGCATTGAGCGAATGTGTTCACATAATATCATATAAGACATATTCATGTGCACTTACATCCTCTTACCTATTCACCTCACCTCCAATTACCCCCTACAAAATCCATGTGCTTTTCATAATGTGTTACAATGTGTTTATATATGTGCATTGCACCTTTAAAACAAATACTTTTATATATTGTGCACAGATCCGTGATTAAGTAAATTGTATCCTGAAAGTCCTTCACTAGGAAGAGTGATCAAACTGAAAACGTGCAGAAACTGAGTGGATTTACATCATACTTAAAATGATTAGTGTATTTGAAGAGCATATTTGTTTTGAAAATGTGTCTACAATCTTCATCATGTTTTGTTATTGTCAATACATTGGAAATAATTTGCTCAATAAGGGGTGAAGCTTTATTTGCATGGCATTAGAATAAATCTATCTTTTCTCAATATTACTTGATACAGGGGAAATTGTAAACATGTTCTTTTTTTGCAAATAAACTATCAATTTGGTCCAAAACAAATATAAGTTATTCTGTCGTAAGATAGTGTAATTAGACAGTATGCATGCACTTATCATAATTGTCTATTGCCATAGGCTACACTGTACACTGATAAATGAGTACTGCAGTGTTGTTGCCTGCACAAGATGTGTAATAAAGCATTTAGGCCTATGCAATGTAAAAGTCTAATACATCATATTGCATTATTTGCCCTATACTCGTTACAGTGACATTGACAACACCTTTGTGCTTCTGTGTTGATTAAACCAGCATATTAGAACAGTACCCAGTCAACTTTCAAACATGTGTCATTACTTGTGTTTGCAAAATCTCAGCCCACAGTGATCACAAGGGCTGCAGCTTGTACCATTAGCACAGCACTGAGTAATGTCTGACAGTGGTGCTAGCTTTGGCAATGTCAGTCACGTGAATTCCCAGCATCCTTGAACGAAACAGGAACTATATCCATAATCCATCCATGACGCACAGAATCGCTCATATTTAAGCACGCACGCTCCACAGTTCTGCAGATAATGATGAGAAGTCCGGCTAATACGTCTGTTTAGCGCTAACAATCTTTGTATGCACTCAGCTTTGCCGCATGCAGAATCTCAGCCTGATGGGAAAGCAACGTCCTGTGTTGGGGTCGCTCTGGTGATCGATTACCTGAGGTCTTTGTGCGGGAAGTGTCGGGGTCGCGGCGAAGCCTGAAGAAGCTCCATGGAGGCGGAATAGCGACGTGCGAAGGGGCTTAAAGGGATGTTAGGGATGGCGGCGCTGGGGGTGATAACAGCAGTGATGAGAGGAGTGCAGCGCTCCCGTACACGCACGCTCACGCACACATGCATGCACACACACTGTCATAAACACTAATACATGCACGCGCGCACGCACACACCACACACACATGTACAGGATGCAGGCGCAGCGCTGCTGGTGCGACATACGACTTCGACCTTCGACCGTTTCTATGGAATGCTATTGGTCCGAGTTTAGACCTGTATACAACTAAAGTACATTTTTGGTCGATTAAAGACATGCCTTATTCGAATAGAAAAAAAAAAAAAAACTATGCTGCTAGAAACACAATGTTCAACTAAACTAAATCTGTTCTATATTATTTCCAGCTACTCTTTGCTGTTTTACAGTGTATGTTGACTGATTCTGGTCGACGATTTGAAAATGGAAAAAGGTGCTTTGCCCTCTCCAGGTGGTGGAGAGGTCCTTCAAGTGGAGGAATTCAAGTATCTCGGGGTCTCGTGAACGAGTGAGGGAAGGGTCAGCACTAGATCATAAACGGAATCTGGACGGAGGTGGAAGTAAATATAACAAACTACCTATTAATGCCTAAACTTAACCAGCCATTCCCATAAAATAACCCCAACCCACCCTTAACCCTAACCTCAACCCACCCTTAACCCTAACCTCAACCATCTTACTCAGACACCTAAAACTTAACCAGTCACCACTTAAGGACTTATTAGTCTAAAACTAATTCGAAAGTAGGATTGTTACTTCCGGTTTCGTCCCGATTCCGTTCATGATCTAGTGCCGACCGTGAGGAAGGCTGGAGTGTGAGATTGACAGGCGGATCGATGCAGCGTGCGCAGTGATGCGGTCGTTTTGTCAGACTGTTGTGGTGAAGAGGGAGCTGAGCCTAAAGGAAGAGCTCTCCATCAAACAGTCAATCTTCGTTACCTCCCTCACCAATGGTCATGAGCTTTGGGCAATGATCGGAAGGAAAAGATCACGGATACAAGTGGTCGAAACCAGCTTCGTCCGCAGAGTGGCAGGGGTCTCTGCTAGAGATAGGGTGAGGAACCTCAGTCACAGGAGGAGCTCAGACTGGAGCCGCTGCTTATCCACATTAAGAGGAGCTAATGTAGGTGGCTCCCTGGGGAGGAGATCCCGGGGAAGACCCAGGACTTTGTATAGATGGTTTTCCATTGACATCATGCACTACCCCCAATTCCGCAGTTCGCCATATTGTAAGTCTAGCCGCCGGTAGTTGTAGGTAAACAAAGCGTAGCACATCCCTTTTTGCACTAAAACATGCCGACTACCTGCGTCGTTTGGGGGTGCAGTAACCGTGCAGATTGTGGGGACATTCCGAAGGTTATTACGAGCCAGGGGAGCCACTCTCGACGGAGAAAATAACCCTTTAGTTGGCGAGGATCAACCGAGAGGGCTTCAACCCTAACCCCCTGAAAAATGGCACTATAAGGTCTGTTCTGACCATTTCATAGCAGGTAAGAGCTAGCTAAATCTGTTCATGTCTGGTAATTATTCAGAACTGCAATTTGACTGTGATACAATGTATACATGGGTTCACCTCCAGCCACGACTCCGTGAAGCTGATCAAGTTCGCCCACCCTCATTGGACTCATCTCCAACAACGATGAGTCCGCCTACAGGAGGGAGGTGGATCGGCTGGTGTCCTGGTGCAGTGGTAACAACCTGGAGCTGAACGCCCAGAAGACAGTGGAGATGATTGTGGACTTCAGGAAGAGCACTGTCCCCCCGCCCCCACCCTCCGTGATGGACTCCCCCATCACCTCTGTGGAGTCCTTCAGTTTCCTGGGAATTGTTATAGAATTATATACCCCATGAAGGAGGAAACTCAAAGGTCCTTTGTCTGATCAAAAGCGTAAGTTTATTGTTAACGCACAGTGCGGAGGGCCAGCACATCCACTCAAAAGCAGCATGTCCCAGCTCTGGGGGCCAGAGCCCCCAGCTTCCTGTATACAAAACACACACCAAAGATAGTCACGCCCACAACGGAGCGGAGGGGGCCACCGGTGAGGAGGCGCACAGGAAGCGCCGGCGCCATCCCCTGTGGTGGCAGTGGCATGGGGTGTGAACAGACAGACAATGGTGGAAGTGCAGGTCATACAGATGCAAGACGGAAAGACACAAGGGTGTGACAGACAGCAGGGACCTTCACAAAGCTCAGCATGGCGTCAGAAGGTTGTCTGCATTGATAAAAGGCCTTTGACGTCCGTGTATTTGCTGCGGCTGGTTTTAATGTAATTACTCCAAAAACTGTCACCACAGCACCACCATCACCCAGGACCTCAAGTGGGAGCCGACCATCAGCTCCCTCATCAAGAAGGCCCAGCAGAGGATGTACTTTCTGCAGCAGCTCAGGAAAGCCAAGCTGCCTGCACAGATGTTGGTGCAGTTCTACACGGCCATCATCGAGTCCATCCTCACCTCCTCCGTCACCGTGTGGTTTGCTGGAGCCACAGTCAGGGACAAACAGAGACTACAGCGCATTGTGCGCTCTGCAGAGGAAGTGATCGGCCGCAGCCTTCCATCGCTGCAGGACCTGTACGTCGCCCGAGCTCGAGGCCGGGCTGGTCGTATCACAGCCGACCCCTCTCACCCTGCACATGGACTATTCCAACCACTCCCCTCAGGCAGGAGACTGCGGTCCATCAGGACTAGAACCTCCCGCCACAAGAACAGTTTCTTCCCCTCTGCTGTTGGACTCTTGAACACTTTTTAACCTGTCCCCCCGCCCTTTATGAAGTCACTTTACCTCACTGTACTGCTGTCACCTTACATTGCGAGTACCATGTGCACTTGTATATTGTAAATAGTAATTGTAACTCTATTTTAAATTTAAATGTATTCCTTAGAAGTGTTTTTTATTATTTATTTTTTATTATTTCTTTCTGACAGTTGCACTGAGCCAAAGCAATTTCCAAGTCTGTGACTTCCTGTTACTTACGTGGCAATAAAAATGATTCTGATTCTGATTCGAGCAATCCCATCTAAATGAATGAGGGGGGGGGGGGGGGGGGGGGGGGGGAAGGGTGGTAGACAGAAGTGATCCTGTGATATCAACTTCTTTGTTCAAAATAAATTATTGATTGAAAGAAATATTGCATCATATACATCATGATCTTTTTTAATTGTAAAACTGTTAAGTGAAAGTAAGCCATTTCAGGCAAAGTCCACTGGTCTCGCCGCATTTCATACGAATCCAAATCTACGATCACTCTCAATTTCTCCAAAGATCTTGCCTCACAGATTTCTCCAGTGTATCAATATACTTAACGTGGTCAGCGTCGGCTGAATTCATGGCTTTAGATGACATGGGGACAAATGATCAGTGGCAAATTATCCATGACAGATGCTTGCAATTGACGTCACGTCCGCCTCATTACATTTGCGTATCACGAAGTGGTGGTCAGCCGAGCTAGTTGTTCACTAGAGAAGCGTGTCTGAATATGGCTTTTGCGTTTGTTGTTTTAAGTTTTCTAACCGATCGAATCGTGAAACCTTTAATGGATACTTTAGTATTCCTTGTGAAGAGATGAATAAAGAGCCTTGCACTAAGGACTTTACGAAAACACGTAGGAAAAGTGGCTCGCTAACATTTCACTAGCAAACGCTTTTACCTCTAAGGATTAATTATTTACCCAGCCATGGAGTCACAAAGCTCAGTTATTA